GGCTCCCTGCTCAGCGGGAAGCCTGCTTCTCCCTCTCCCACTCCCCCTGCTTGTGTTCCCTCTCTCGCTGTCTCTCTCTCTCTCTGTTGAAAAATAAAATCTTTAAAAAAAATAAAGTTTATTGAGCACCTATGATGCGTCAGATGCCAAGGAACTTTAAGTACCATCTACTGAACTGGACAATAGGCTGCCCCACGAAAGTGGGTTGAGCTCTCTTGACGGGTGTGTTGTATCCTGGTTCCTGTGCCAGTCTCCCTCCTGACAACCCCACAGCCCGGCCTTGCTCTAGAGTGGGTGTCTGGCTTCTTCCCTCCTGCCCCCACCTGCTCCCCTGGCCTGCATTCACCTGAGACCTATGACACGTGCCGGGGAGGTCTGCAGGAAAAGACGGGGGACGCGCAGAGAGGGAAATAGTCGTCACTCAGCACTTGACTAATAATAGCTCACCGGGAGGGTCAGACACAACTGTTGGCTTCTCATTCTCCAGCTGGTTAATATGATTGCCAGTGAGATCTGATTGACCCATGCTCAGCCAGTGGCTTTCCTGTTTATTCCCCAGTATTCAGGAGCAAGACAAGAGGCTTCAGGCTCTGTGGAATGCTTGTGAAAAATTGCCCAAGGCCAATCACAACAACATCCGGTAAGTGGACGGATCCTGGAGACGCGGGGTCAGGGTTATTTAAGCCGCGCACACATGGTTTCCTGGCTAAGGGTCATGGTAACTAGCCTGCGTGGCATTTTATGGGGTGCTGAGCTTGGTTAACGCGCATGGTCTCCTTTCAACCTCAGACGACCCTGCGAGGTTGTTAATGACCACGTTGCCAAGGAAGGAACAGAACGGAAGGCACTATATGACTTTGGAAGGCCATTGGCTAATTTAGTTGAGTTCTCTGATGTGCAAGAAGCAAAGATGAATGCAAGCTGTTTTTAAGATTTTTTACGATTTTTTATTTATCCATTTGAGAATGAGAGCATGAGTGGGTGGGGGAGGCTCAGAGGGAGAGGGAGAAACAGACTCCCCGCTGAGCAGGGAGCCCGACGCCGGGCTCCATCCCAGGACCCCGGCAGGCAGACGCTCAACCCACGAAGCCTCCCAGGTGCCCCGATATTGTGCATTTATTGTAAAGATAAGTATTCAGGCACAGCTGGGAGAGGCTGAGCAAACCTGGAGCTGCTTGGCGGAGGTGTCCTTGAGCTCGTCTGCAGGGAGAAGGAGCCAGATGTGTATCCTCTGGTGCTCTACCGTTCACCGCCTCTTTTCGGCACATCTCTCTCACTTTCTTTGCTTCCCCCCCGCCCCCCACCCCGCCCCGGGATTTTACTTCCCGCTCCTCTACAGATCTTTTCTGCTCCTCACGCCCTCTGCTTCCTCCTCCCTTCGGCTTGCCACCCCCCCTCCGTGCTTCCCTAGATGCAGACTCCCAGCTTCAGCTCCTCTTGCCATCTGCCCGAGTATTTCTGCTTTCCTGTTCAAAATTCTAGCAGCCGAAGGTATGGCTCACCCTTAAGAAATTAAACATAGAATTACCATCTGATCCGGCCACGGCACTTCTGGGTATATATAGACCCAGAAGATGTGAAAACAGGGACTTGGTACACTCATGTGCATGACAGCATCATCCGTAATAGCCAAGAGGTGAAAACAGCCCAAACGGCCATCACTGGGTGTATAAACAAAATATACATGTGATGTGATGTTCGGCGGGTGAATCTTGAGGACATGGTGCCAAACGAAAGAAGCCAGACACAGAAGGACAGATACTGTATGATCCCACGTATATGAGGTACCCGGAGTTCACACATTCACGGAGACAGAAAGGAGGGGGGCGGGGCTGCCAGGGGGGAGGGGAGCATGGGATGGGAGGGAAGTGTTTAATGAGTATAGAGATTCTGTTCTGGAAGCTAAAAATGATCTGGAGATGGATGGTGGTGATGGTGCTTCACAGTGCGAACGTACTTAATGCTACCATACACTTAAGAGTGATGAAAGAGTAATTCTTACGTAGATTATAGCACAAGTAAAAAAAAAAAAAAGTCCCAAGAGCGATTTAACGTACGGCTTCCTCATTAGTTCCTTGAGATATAATTCACATACCGTTGTGTCCTCTTAAAGGTGCGATTTAGTGGTTGTTTGTATGTGTGTTGACTCACACAACTACCACCACTCACTTTAGACCATTCTCATCACCCCGCAAAGGAACCCTGTTCCCATTAGCCGTCACTCTCCATCCCCCCGCCCAAGCCCGGCCCCTGGCAAACACGAATCTACCTTCTCTGTCTCTACAGATGTGCTTCTGCTGGACATTTCACCTGGGTGGAGTCCTACAACACGTGGGCTTTTGTGTCTGGCTTATTTCACTCAGGATAATGTCCTCGAGGTTCATCCATCCATGTGGTAGCGCCTGTTAGTATTTCGTTCCTTTTCATGGGTGAATAGTATTCCGTTGTATGGATAGACCACGTTTTATTTATCTGTTCCTCCCTCGGTGGACGTTTTGGATGGTTTCCACTTTCTGGCTGGCTTGCATAACACTGCTGGGATGCACATTTATGTACAAGTTTGCGTGTGGGCCTATTTCTCTTGGGTAGGTCTCTGGGAGTGAATTGTTGGCTCCGGTGCTAAATCTATGTGTAGCTTTTTTTCCCATTAGCTCTCAAAGCCCCACTGAAGTGAATCCCAGGGGACACCAGCCCTGGCATGTAGAGGTCCCTGCTGATGACACCTGGACACTTTGCTTCTCACCTCTGCACACAGGGAGAGTGGCAGGTGACTGAGGTTTGAAAAGGAGGAGGGACTTCAGGTCACCAGAGCCTGAGTCAGAAGGAAAGACGGGGAATTTCTCTGGCCAGGGTTCACGGCAGCGGATGTTGGCATGTAGCCAAGTGAGATCGGAGTCTGTCTGTTTCTCAAGCGTTCTCATGGCTGGATACGTTACACGTCTTCATTATAATGCAGGATGTAGGAGTCTCGTTGTCAATAAGATGGGCTACGTGAGAGAGATTTCTGCCCTCTGCTGGGGGAATGTGGCTGGGGTTGAGCCCGAGTTGAACCTGGCCCTTCTGTCTTCCTTTCAGATACTTGATCAAATTTTTATCCAAGCTATCAGAATATCAAGATGTAAACAAGATGACTCCCAGTAACATGGCAATTGTGTTAGGACCCAACCTCCTGTGGCCGCAAGCAGAAGGGTGAGTGCACAGGGAGGAACATGCAGAGGGGTGGCGTGTGGGCGGGACAGCCAGGGCCCCAGATAAATCATCAGCCTCTTTTATTTGTTAAGTCCTGTTTCTCTCTTGGCCTGCTCATGTTTTAGGCTCAGGAGAAGACCCAGAATTCTGCAGATCTTTCTCAATGATGGTCTCAGAGCTACAGGCCTGCAGTGAGCTCAGGTCTTCTCTGAGCTAATCTGAGTCTGCAGTGGGCCAGGCAAGCTCTTCTAAGCCTTCCTCATGCTCTGTGAAGAGCACACATCCCAGCATCTGGATGCAGGGGATGGAGGGCTGTCTCAAAAGAGAGAACAGAGTTGGAAAGCAGATGAATCTGGCATTTGTGAGAATCACACCTCACAGTGAAAGGTGCCTGATACTTGGTGATTTCATATATATTACTCATTCACACGTCTCTTGTAAGGAGGACATCTATGGAAAGGTGAAGTGTCCTTCCAAAGAGAAAGCCTACTCTCAGACCTAGGTCAGCAGGCTTCCGGTCCAGGGGCCGTTCCCAGGCTGTGCAGCCAGGTGTGCTTTGCTGCTGCCTTGGCTAGTAACCTGGTCCTGCCCCCTCTCTGCTCTGTACTCGCAGGAACATCACGGAAATGATGACCACAGTTTCACTGCAGATTGTTGGGATCATCGAGCCCATCATCCAGCATGCAGACTGGTTCTTCCCTGGGGGTACGTGGTGGCATCGAGATACGGGAGTTGGGGGCCGGGGGAAGAATAAGAGTGTTACTGTGAGTTCACAACTTCTGAAACCAAAGGTGTTTGTCATTAATCCTCCTACACACATGCGTGAGTCATGGCGGTTTCTTACTATCTAATCCCCGACTGAGCGACATTCTGGCCACAGGTGTCCACTGCCCACACTAACCAGCCAACAACCATAGCGATCTTAGTGAAATCTCTGGTTTCCAATCCTTTTCAATGTTTTATCTTTGGTTTTCCAGAAAGACAATGTCGTCATCTATAAGTAATAGTACTGCCTCTTATTTTATTTTCTTGACTTATTCCATTGGCCAGCACTTTTCCAATAGTGTTAAATAACAGCAGTGGAGGTGGGCATTGCCCTTTTTCCTGATTTGATTAAGACTGCTCTGGTGTTTCACTTGTAACCATGAGGCTTGAGATAGATGATTTTGTCTTTTTCCGAGAGTACCCATCTGTTCCTGTTTCACTAAGTTGGCTTTTAACCATGAATAGAAACTGCTTTATTTAATGTTCATCATATTTAGTGTGATAGGTGAGCACTTGTGTTCACCTGCTAATAGGATGAATTATATTAGGATGAATTCGTATCAACAGACGACCTAACGTTGAACCACGGGACACAGTTTTCTAGGGGTAAAGTGTAGAGGACAGGCCGCATCAGCTCATCTCTCTTCCGGCCGGGAACGGCGTGACCAATAGATCGCGTACACCCATTCTCTCATCCCTGCAGAGATAGAGTTCAACATCACCGGGAATTACGGGAGTCCCATACACGTGAACCACAATGCCAACTACAGCTCCATGCCCTCCCCAGACATGGACCCCGCTGACCGGCGCCAGCCCGAGCAGGCCCGCCGGCCCCTCAGCGTTGCCACGGATAATATGATGCTGGAGTTTTACAAAAAGGATGGGTATGAACCAGTGTCCCTTTCTCAGCGTTGGAGGGGCGGAGGGGGGAGGGGTGGGGAGTTAACACCAAACGAGATTGCCGGGAAGGTTGCACTCTCTAGCAGCAGTTTAGGCAATGTATAGCAATTAAGCTGTTGCCTCCTTCTCTATGTTTTCTCTGTGCTGTTGTGACTGAGTCCCTTGGCTTGCTTCCCTTGCTCTAGGGACCGAGGTAAGTGCAGTATTGATTACTTCTCACCAGAAGGAAGGAAAAAAAAAAAAAAAAAAGTTGGCCAACAAGGGCAATGAAGAGAAATACGTGAACACTTTATTTTCACTCAAAATGTATAAACGTAGGTCAGTTCTCAAATCCCAAATGGTTTTTCACTGACAATGGCTCTGCTCCTTCCCATTCTTCAGCAACACTCCTGCATAAGCATCTCCTGGAATGCGTGGTTGAACGTTTCCAGGTTCAGTCTCTTTGAAACAGAGAGCAAACCTACACTTGAAGCGACCTGAATGTAAAGTCCTTGTAAGTGTTTAAGACGCCTTCCCATCGCTGATGATTGATACCTACACCTTCTGTGATGGAGTCCCCACGAGACTCATAAATGCGTTCAACTTCATTTGCATGGCAACGGCCCTCTCTACACTCCTTTTCAGATCAGGTCACGTAACGTGTTAACTGCGTACTGTGGTTCCCAAAACCAATAAAGTGGGCATAAACAGGTTTGGTAACGAGCACAGCTGATCCGTGGGGAGCGGCAGCCACGACAACCAGAGTATGAGCATTGAGAGCACCCCGCAAGTTCAAGGCATCAGCGGACTGTGTCTTACAGAAGGAACGGGGATTGCATTGTTTGCTCCAGCAAGCCAGTCGAGTAAACTTTGGTTAAGAATTAAAAATTGCGGTTGTAGCACAAAATTCAGCGGCTGCTCTTTCAAAATGGACCAGGAGCATAAAGCAGTGAATGGGAATATATTATCAGAGATTCGGACAACAACCTTCCGCCCCCCTGACAGATCTTTAGGCAGCCAGAAAGATCTCCTTCCTCCTAAGGAAGGGCCTCGGGGGAGGTTGAAAACCAAGAACTGTAGGGGTGCATCTTAGTGTTCACCCCTCTTGGTTTCTGAGTGGGAGCTGGCCCTGGGGACCTGACCTGTGTCCTGGGATGACGGATTCCTGCTTGTCTCCTCACCCTGCGGAGACCCTTGCTGTGTGAGGCAGCCGGGGGGGTTTTCTGCTCTGTGCTGTTGGTTATTGTTTCTCCAGCGAATGGGGAACGAAAAACTAGAAATTCCTAGAAGTTGGAGAGAGTAAGAGGAAGTTCCTTAAATCTTTTTTTTTTTTTTTTAAGATTTATTTATTAGAGAGAGAGTGGGGGCGGGAGCAGAGGGAGAGAGAATCCTGAAGCAGACTCCCTGCTGAGCGCACAGTCCAAGGACTCGGGGCTCGATCCCAGGACCCTGAGATCATGACCTGAGCTGAAATCAAGAGTCGGATGCTTAACCGACTGAGCCACCCAGGTGCCCCTTGAATGATGATACGTTAAGCAACTGCCTCCTCTCTGACGACGGTCGGTCATTCAAGAACTTGGTAAATGATTTGCCCGTTCCGCACACTGTTCTGATTTAAAGCCAAAACTGCCACCATCAACTTTAAGGGTATAGGGAGGGGATGCGCTGCATAAGTTACTCTTGCACGCTAAATGGATGTGGTTTGTGTATTTTAAAATTTGTATTAAACATGAAATTAAGTGGAGGGCTTACTGGTTTAGGGTCACCCTTGCTCCATTGCCTAGGGTGCTGGCCCAGGTGCTTTAAGGTACAGTGAGCTTGCAGATGATCAGTTTCTAACCAGCTTTCCCAGAAACAGAAGCCTAAAGTTGTAAGTGTTCTGGGGGGAGAAGAAAGCCATTTGCATCAGCTGAAGGCCCCTGTTCTATTTTAGCAACACTAGGGGAATTCTCCACATTTATCCCATTTCTGAGCTCTGAAAATCTACGGACACATTTTAAAGTCTTCATACTACCCTCTTGAAACACTGACAAATTGAAGCTCACTTTACGAAAGCATTTTGGTCAAGTTAAAACAAACAAACAAACAAACAATTGTATATCATTTTCCTGGCTGATGGCTGTTATGACCTAGACATCATACAAAGTGGTTCACTCCCATCCCAGCTCCAGGCTTTGGTCCTGCTGCCTTTGATTCAGGATGACTCGGGAAACTGAGTTTCTTTAGCAAGACCTGGAGGCAGATTTTGGAGCTCACATCCACCTTTCTCATTATTGTGGTTGGCAGAATAATGGTCTCCCCCAAAAGCTAGCAGCAGGTCCTGAACCCTGGAACCTGTAAATACTACCTTATTTGGGAAAAGGGTCTTTGCAGATATGATTAAAATAAGGACCGTGAGGGACCACTCTGGATTACCAGGGTGGCCCCTAAATGCAATCCCATGTATCATAAAATGCAGAAGGAGATTTGACATAGGCATGCGGAGAAGGACAAATGCGAAGATGGAGCGGAGAGAGATTTAAGGATGTGGCCGCGTGCCAAGGAATATAAGCCACCGGAGGCCGGAAGAGGCAAGAAACAGCTTCTCTCCTGGAGCCTCCGGAGGGAGCACAGCCCTCCTGCCATCTTGATTTCAGCCCGTTGCCACTGATTTTGGCCTTCTGGCCTCCAAAAGGGCGAGGGACTAGATTTCCGTCATTTACCGACTTTGTGGTACTTGTTACAGTAGCCACGGGGACCTAATACATCCCTCCACATGCCAGGAGCTTCGTGGTAGAAATGGCAGCAGGTGCTTGGTCCGCCCCCCACTGAGGGTCGAAATCTAAGCACACTCCCTCTGACTATGAGCTGGCCTCAATGACTGACTTATCTACCAGAATGTGGCAGAAGTGATGTGCTAGGACTTCGGAAGCTGGGTCAGAAAGAGCCTTGTCGATTATGCCTGGGTCCCTTGAATACTCACTCTTAGAACCCTGTTACCTCGCTGTGCGGGAGCCTGGGCAGCCCCTCAGAGAGCAGTTCAAGCCCCCGGCCTTCACCCCCAGCTGGGCACCGAGCTGACAGCCCTCACCCACTTACCAGCTTCGGGAGGGAATGGTCTCGGAGTCTTCCTCGCCAGGCCGAACCTTCTCAGCTGATGCTGTATACCATACATAACTGTGCCTGCCAGACTCTGCCAAGAGTGTGGATTTGTGACCCAGATAAAAAATAAGCTGCTTCGTTTCGAGGGTGGCTCGTTACGCAACAGAAGACAGAACAAGCTTTTAAAAAAAAGAAGGCTGCTCTCCGGTGGCCCCGACCCCATTCTTCAAGGCTGCCCTGATTGGCCTGGGCTGGGATTCAGACACTGGTACTTTTTTAAAGTGTCCTGGCTGATGATTCTCATGTGCCTGTAGGGTTGAGAAGCACTGAATCACAGAAAGATTTTGCCGTTCTGAATGAAGAATTTGGCAGGGGTACAATTTTTTAAAAATTTTTCAAAATTTTCCTTCTGTAGCCCTCGGGTGTTGGTGTGAGATACGAGCTGTCCTGACTCTGCCAACACTCTGAACCACAAAGTATTGATTAGGTCACCCCGTGTGCCCTTACACCCTGTGTAAGCTCCGACTTGGAAATTTGAGGCTACAGGTTACTATGTATTTTTCGTGCCTTGTTAGTATTGGCTTTTTGTTTTGTTTTATAAAATAGCAACATCTGTTTCATGGATCCTTTGTCCCAAATAATACACGAAAATAATCTTGCAGATCCCTTTTATTTTTCTGACGACGGCAGTGTCATCCCCGGTCCCATCAAATATTTTTTTATGTGAGCCCTACTGCCGCTTTTTTTTTTTTTTTTTTTAATTTTTATTTATTTGACAGAGACAGTGAGAGAGGGAACACAAGCAGGGGGAGTGGAGCCCTACTGCCTTCTAAAGAGTTGGCCAAGAGGTCTGCACTCTCTTGCCCGTTGGTCAGGGGGGACCCATAGTCCCTCAGCATTTGTCTGATGCCTCCATTGGCCACGTCCCTGGCAGAGTCGGAACAAACTCAGCTGGGATCGTTGAGAGGACAAGCCTGGAGGTGAGAAGAGAAATGATGTCCGTGGTGGACCATCCTTCCTCGTTCACGTCTCCCTCTGATGGCTCTCGTCCTCCCCCTTTCTCCTCCTCTCTGCCCCCTGCCTGCTGCCAGCCGCACACTTCAGAAACCCCATTGGTACCACTGCTGCCTATCCCATACACACAGTCTCCCTGCTGCCTGTTTGCTGCCTTCTGGCTCCGGCCCATGCTCTCCACTGTTACCCTCTTGGCTGACGTCTGTCCCGCTGTGCCGGCTCAGTCCTAGCCTCTGGAGTCCCAGCAGGATGGCAGTCTGTCCACGGAAATCCCAGTGGCCTTGGCTCTTTATACTCAGAAGACCGATGCATAGCTCCTCTTTCAAGTCTGGAAACTTGATGTGCCTGCCGCCGTTTTGCTTGTCCCACAGCGGTCTGGTCCTCAGAGATGCGTTACCAGGGCCACTTGACTGCAACCCCAAAATCTGTGTGGTCTCCCCGAGAGCTCAGTTTGGTGTGGGACGCATCCTTCGCCTGTGTTTGACACCTGCTCTGCGATGGGTCTTGTCCCACCCACCTGGACCTTCATCTAGATGTCCAGCAATTTGGAACAGGCATCTTTAATTGAGAAGGTTCGGGAGCAATGTGAAAGGTGCTCTCTGGACGACTAGTTCCCCTGTTGGTCGTATTGGGTTGGGAGGGGACAGAAACCTGGGGTCTGATGGGCTGCTGAAGCCAGTTCACGTAGTGTATGACTTCTTAGGATCTTAAGCACATCGTGACGGGTCACAGATCTTCATAAGGTGGCTGTGGCATGCTTCTTTTCCCAGATTTATTAAATCAGAAAACCCATGGCCACCCGACGACCGGAACTAGGGGCTTCTGTAATTGCAGATATTAGGGTGCTCTGCAGACCCTGCAGGGGAGGATGGACAGGGCACAGAGACCGTGACCCCAAAGGCATGTCACT